AGATTAAGAGTTTTTGAAAAGGGGTTATTAAAGGTTTTTTTAACATGGTGACAGGCAGCTTGGTGATGTACTCATTTGGTAAGGCAACATCACCAAACATGATGGGATTTACCTCTGAGTAAACATGCATGGGGCTGCTCTGTTCAAATCCAAATGTTCTGAATTAATTAATCTCTGGACTGGGATAATTAACTATAGCAACAGCTTTTAAACAAAATTTTTATTTTAAATAATTATTTTAAATAACACAAAAAAAGCGAAGAAGAATAAAACAGTAAATAAATTTTGAGTCAATGAAAGGAAGGCTAGTTGGCAAGAAGAGAACAAAGGAGGAAACAGAGGGAATAAGAAATGATATTTCAACTGTGGCTAACAGAGAAGAAAGACTTGTGTAAAAATAAGCAGAATTATTAATATCCTGGAATTACCAAAGGAGAAACGTAACAGAAGAAAATACAAGAGAAACAGAAATGTAAAAAGATAGACAAAGGACCACAATAACATTCATGATGAGGGGGGCAATCTAATAGAATTTTAAAGAGAAAAACATTGCAAGTCGGAAAGAGTTTTCCTAAAACAATGATTTTAAGGGGGGGGATCCTCTTTTTCTGAGTATACCAGGAAGCTTGGTGCTCTAAGAACATAACCATAAAGCACAATACATGAAAATCAAAAAACTAGTGTTAGCCAAACTTTTTCACATCATTCCCAACTGAGATTTATTATAGCTCTCACATTTATTTTTCTAGTGTTTAACTAAGCTAGGTTTAAACTATGTTTGGTTCACTTGGGAAAAACAATACATTGCAATAAAAATAAATGTCCCTGTTCTGCATAATAGACCAAATATAATCAAAGCTCGTTAGAATCACAAGCATATACAAGATGGGGATTCCCTTAAAAATGAAATCAAAGCAACACAATCCCGTATTGGCAGTATTAGCTGTCATAAAGATAAGTACAGTAGATCTTTTCCTCAGGCTATGTTTCCCATTCTTAAGTTCCAATACCTTTATCTGGTTTTTGGCTCTCCTGCAATCAGGCTTCTAGTCTATCTAGGTTTACTCAGCAATGTTTGAAGGCACCTTCAAATCTAAGGAGAAAATAGGTAGCCTATATGCCTCAGGCAGAGATCCAGGTAAAACAACATAACGAAATGCATGTGAACCAGAATTCCTCATCAAATCTACCCAGCATACAGAACAATCATGTTACTAAATGTGCAGGATTCTAGTAGTGGAGCTAATTTAAAAGGGAAGTGCCGCGGTAAAGAATTGAGAGGTGAGATCTGACATGTAAACAACATGGAGTGTGATTCCACATACCAGTTCAGCTAGATCAACATAATTTATACAGCCATGTTGCCTGATGTATAAATTAATATGCTGTATAATTTTCATTCTCTTAAGATCATAGTCATAAGATCATTGCTCCCATTAACTTCAGGAACTAGGCACAATTACACCTTTTATTGGACCCATCTCCACTAATGCAGGAGTGGGCAAGATTTTGACACCAGCAGGTTCTGGACCACTAAAAGGGGTCCCCTCTGATTTTACTTATCTAATCTTTTGGGACCAGACATACCAGGAACTGCCCAAATGTAAGTAATCCAGCTTAAATATTTTCTGAATCGGAATGATATTAATGGAACATCCCAGGAATATTTTCTCTTCAGGACAAACCTCAACGCTGATGGTGCTGTCGATCCATTTGTCAAATGATAAAAGAAACAACAATTTTAGCAAAGATTTCTTCCCTTTTTTTCCCCAGGGGAACAAATTTGCTTCCTTAGAGGTTTTTTTCTCTACTATACAAACAAAAGCAAAAGCAAAAACAAAAAAAGAGCCTGTTTTTCCTATGCTGTTCACACAGAGCAGTAAATAAGGTGCATTCCTTTGACTTCGTAGGAAATTAGCATTTCAAAAATATGCCACTCGCCCTCTTCCCCCCCACTCCAAGCCATGTCTAATAATGCAAGAAGCAGATTGTCTCCCCTCGTTTCCTTAATTTGTTTCATCTAAAAGCAATTCACTCAACATCTTGTCGCCCTCTGGCAGCTCAGTTTACTTATCCACACTTAATTTCTCATTTGGACCAAAACAAACTCCTCCAAACTGCCAGTGGCTGAAGGGAAAGGATGAGGAAAGGAGGGTGGGGGGGGAATCCCTCACTGAGTAGATTTACCAGGAAAAGGTTAGCTGTACATTTCTAACACACACAGCTTGATGCAGGCGACTATTGCTGTGTGGGCCCGTGGGCAAGAGAGACAAATCCATGGCGAAGCTTTGCTGAAATGAATGGGAGACTGTATGAGGGCGATGCTCCTTTCAGTATGCTACTGGTACAGGATGAAAGCTTCCCTGCTGACTGCCATAGGAGAGCCCAACTTTGCCTTTTATAGATCTTGCAGACAAAAAAAACATAGACAACTTTTTGAGGAACCCAGAATTATTTTTTTTAGCCAACATGACTGTTCCAGCTCACGTTTTGCACATATGACAATAATGTACACTCAAAATAGTGCAAGTTCACCTCTTTCCAATTCAACACAAGGTTAATGTGATGGGCCTGGAAACTGGCATACTGCTACATCACTAGCAGCCATTGGCACAGTAAAACCAAACAAAATGTATTTTTTTTCCTTGTCTACAGACATCCACTTACGCCGCTGGCACATAAATGTTTGCTTTTCTTTAGCTAAACAGCCATTGTCATTCATAAATACGCACATCTTCCAGTCTGTTCTCAAAATATTTCCACCTCCTTTTAAAAACCTGAGCATCAGCAGCACTGAAAAGAAACAGAAAATTTCACCTTTGGTTATCAGACGCTCACTACAAAAAGGTTATGATCCTGTCATGAAAACACGGGAGTCTCTTTGAAGAGAAGACTTTAGTCGAATTTTATTTTATTTAAGTACAATAGTGTTTAAATCTCTCCCCTCCCCACCTGGGATCTGCAAACCTCTAGAAGCCGGTAGCCTAATTGTTCAAAAGATCTGAGGCTAAGCACAAAAGTGAGAGTCACAAGGAGATCAACAGTTCATCCTCTGAAAAGGCTCTGGGCAAGTGCCTGGACCAAGGGTGGAGGTGGAGGTGTGAGGTGCAGAGGGGGCAAAGCAGAGTCTCCTGAGTACTCAAATAAAGGGGTGCCCAGAAGGAAAGGGAGCGACAGCAAAGGCGGGGAGAAGCGGGCCCGAGTTCTACCCCCCGATGGCCCTTCCGCCGCTTCCCTCCAGCCGGGTCCGCATACCAAAAGCAAACTCGGAGACCAAGGCACCTGCTGATCCCGGTCCAAGAAGGAGAGGAGGGCCCTGGAGGCGACTGGTTCGCAGGATGATGGCTCGGGCGACGTGTTCGTTCATCCAGCTCCGGAAGCCCTTCAAACCAGAACGGTTCCCTTCGGGCTCCCTGGAGGAAGGCGGGACGAAATAAAGGCAGCCATCGACCCCCTACCACTGCCTCTCTTCCTCGGAAGGAAATCCGTCTTAAAGCATTCAGAGCCCGTGCTTCCATCCAAGGGAAAAACCGGGTTAGGCTCCGGTGGGAAGAAGCGGCGGCGCCTCTGGTGAGCGCACCCGGGCGCCTCCTCCGCTCCCGACCAGGTGAGATCAACTTCGTGCCCGAGACTCTCCCCTCTTGCCAAAACCCCAAATCTAAACCCCTCCCGGCGGCGCCATGTCCTTTGCACCCCTTCTGTCTAACCTCGAGAGGCTCTTCGTGGAGGAAAGGAGAGAAGCTGCCATCCCGAAGGGGAATCGGGTTCAATTCGAGGCCGGCCTGAGGACCGACCTCTGTCTGCGCCTCTTTCTTGCCCTGCGCCCGTTCACCCGCGGAAGAGGAGGAAGGATCGCCCGTCAAAGCAGACAATCAAGGCGGGGAGCGGGATGGGATGGTAAGGAAAAAAACCCAATCTGTATTCAGCGTCGGCCCTACAAATGAGGGGTTTCCCCACTTCTCCTCCCTTCCCCGCCACACGTTGTCCTTTCCGAAAAATCCCTCTAAGCAAACACAGCCGTCCGAAGTTAAGGATTCTCAAGAGATTATTAGTCCACATTAAGGTCAATGGCAGAAGTCTTAGACGGGCGGTTAATAACGCTCCTGCTGGAATCGAGACAGGCGCTGACAGTGTTTTTAACCAACAAAAGGGTTTTTAACCAAACCCCTCTGTTTTTGGTTAAAGAAAGCCTCCTCCCTTCCCTGTCTCTCGCGAAGCCGATCTGCTTTGCCAACACCAAACCGCAAGAAAACACACAACCGCGAATCTACGGAGGCGGGCGAGGGGAGGGGGGGCAACAGGTCTTCTTTCACCTCCGTAGATCTCACTCTAAGCACAACGAGAGTCGGTCATGTGCTCGCCTATTTTAAAAAAGCCAGCTGGCCAGCCGCGCACACAACCCCCGGTTTCATTCTGGACCACAGGTGCCGAAAGCGGAGGCGCACAAAGCATCCCAGCCTCCTCCATGAGAAACACACTTAAGAATTTCCCTCCACTGATGACTTACAAAACAACGGAGCAGGGAGGAAGGCTCTCGGTTATGTCAGAGACGAGGCTCGCTTTCCAGATCTCACTTTCTGGGTTATAGTTAACGCTAACCCAAACGGACTCTTTAAAAAAAACACACCAGTATTGTCCCATTTTATTTTTAAGGAAAACGAGACAACGCAACACACGTAGCGCTCCACAGGGAACCAAGCTGCCCCAGGAAATAAACAAGCAAGCCAACTTGTTTAAAGGGCTGTAGTACCAACCTGCCACTTTCAAACTATTATCCTGGAATGTCCCTCTGGAAGAAATACATCGCTGGTAGGATTAAGCAACAACAGCAACAAGGGATGGTGCGGGGGGGGGGAGAAGGGAAAGATTCCGTTTGCTGACCATTTCTCCACGTCCAGGTTTGCTTTCTTTTTTCCAATGCCCCTTCAAGGATCAGCAGCCTCCCCCCCCCGCCCGCTCCAACACCGCTGGAAAAACCAGAAACGGGAAAGGGACCGCACCTGATTGCGCCGCGCCGAGGCGGAAGGTCCCGGCGATGGTCAGAAAGCTCACCCAGGCGAGGGCTCCCCGTGCCAGCCTCATTTTCCGGTGCGGTGGCGGCGATGCCAGCGGCGGCGGGAGGGGAGAGGAAGGACTCGCGAGGACCCAACCAAGGACAGCCGGCTTCCCTTGATGCTCGACAATTACATGGTCCAAGGGGCGCACCGGGCGCGGCGGTCGGCAGCCAAGCGTCGCCTCTTCGCGCGCGCGCCCCCCCTCTCTCTCTGCCAAGCGAAGGTGTGAAGGAGGCGCTTCTCCGACTGCCTGGCAAGCGCCGGGCCCCTCGGCCGAGGGACTCCCCTCGCAGGTGCCGAAGAAGGAAGGGTTTGGGCTGCCGAGCGAGAGACGCTGCCAAGCCGGCGGGGGGGGGGGGGGCGGAGGGGGGGGGG